CGCCTCTTCCCAGGAGATGAAGACCATCCTGGCTCTGCTACCATACCTAATTGTAGAGGGTAGAGTTCAAGTGAGCAAATGGAGGTACCAGGAAACTTTAAAATTCAATACACAGACACACTGCGGTGGATATTTATACGGTGGAGACAGTGCTCAGACTGGATTTAGCTCTGAACTTTTTATGAGATGAGTACTTTCCAGTCTGAGATCGCAGACTACTTCAAAGAGATCTTCAAGAATAAGCACATCAATATTTTACACTGGCCTACGTATATAAAAAGTGAAGAGTCTGCAACCTTCCCTGGAAGAATTTTAGGGAGTCACAAACTGAAAAGATTAAAAACACTGATCTGAAAGTATAAAACAACAAAATATTTTCTATTCTTTGGGAAAACGTAGTAGTGAAGGAAAGGCAAGCAGAGCTACTCAGAGAAGCCAAAGCAAGACTGCATGTTTAGTTAATGCGAGGTAGATGAATAAGAGATATCGAGAAGATTGAAATGCCAGTTTTGTCAATCAGGAATCACTTGAGCCAGCCAGTGTTAAAAAGACAGGAATCACGTTCTCACTGCTTCCTTCACCTCAAAAATTTCATTTGCCTGTTGACTTGCCTAAACCTTATACTTAACAACCTCAGAATAACACATGCGAAGGACCTAGTTGTCATAATGCTCATACTTGTATGACACTGTTCTCTTATGCCTGTTCAGGAGATAGAAAGGAAAAATATTTTGGGGACTTCATTCAACACTACAGAAAGGTGCTGGGCAACAAGAACTTCTCGGACACTGACTTGATGAGCCTTTCAGCTGATAATGTTAGTAATAGTAATAATTTGCTAATGATATTAACAAATAATAATCATAAGTAAAAATAAAAAATTATGGTAGTAAGCAGTGGTCATCTGAATAATCCCAAAGAAACTGAAAATCCAAACTGAAGACCTGACTGAAATGCAGCCACCGCTGGGAAGGACAGCAGTGAGTGATCTCCTTATAGCATGTCATGTCACACACAGGGAAAAGGGCAAATAAGAAGGAATTGGAAGAAGATAAGAAGCATTTGGAAGAAAAACTCTGCTCTTATGCATTCTTGAGTGATTTTGCAGTATTTTAGCAGGACTCATCTGAATTCAAGGTTTTCCCAATAGGAGGATTGTTTATACAATGATGTAGCCTTTTCAGTCCCAGCATCCCTTAGAGATCTTTAGTACATGCATTGAAAAACAGTGTTTTGTGTCTCGCTCCTCATTGCTGAAACTTATATTTGTTTCAGCAATGTTCTTCTCCCTGATGTTTTAGAAATAGTATTAATTTGCAGCTGATTAAAAAAAAATCTTCAGTGAGATCCCCTTGCAGCTGAAGTCTGCATTTCTTTTGCTATTCCTCCTGGGTCCAGGCAAACATATTAGTGAAACAACTGGATCATCCATTAAGCAGAGAAGATTCAGAGACTGGTGCTTTTGATGGGTATACAGACTAGATATGAGTCCAAGAGCTCAGTACCTTCTACTGAGTATACCCTACTTCTATGGCCTAGAATTTTAAATGCGCAGCAAAGACTTACAAAATCACCTAACAAGATGTCAAGCAGTTCTGCGTTTAGAAAGTGAGACTGCCAAGACTCCAGCACAACCCAGTTTTCTAAAATAAGGTCACCAAAATCAGTAGCTGCACATGCTTCCAGAGACAAACAGCAGAGGAAGTAGTAAGAAGCCTGCTTTATTGTGTATTACTGAAATTTGTAGGGGGTGTTGTACAGGAGACCTGGTTAGGGAACTCTGGTTTTTAGGCAGCCTTCTCAACAAACATGACAAGCTGCTATCCTTTGCTTGCAAGGGACTTCCCTGTCTACTACAGGTTCCTGCAAGAGTATCTGCTGAAGAGACAGGGAATGGGGATGTAACTCTGCAGCAGTACTGCACACCTGTGGAACTACAGCTTCCTAAAGCCATGTTACTTACCTGTGTTTCTGCTGCTCTAAATACTTTCGTACACTCCACTTCATTTTGAGACACCCTATGTGCTTTTCAGGCTGATAGGCTACATTACAAACGTCTAAGAAATATGAAGTTGCAATACAAGCTCTATGGAATAATTTAATGTTAAATATTTCTCAAATAAGGTCTTGTGCTGGTGAACAGCAAACTCGGTCACTGACTCAGTGTCAGGTATGAATTCAAATGCCATCCTTTCATGCTTTTTAACACAAAACAGCCACAATGAATTTTGCATGCTGCTGTCATTTCAGAATACTTTCTCTTGGTCTGTTTTTATGTTTAACCTAAACACAGTCTCGGATCTCATGTGGTGGGAACTAAGTGGCCCTGTCCTTGCTATAAAGCCATTACTACAGATTTTTACCAGTTGCAAATCCTGTTGTGATTTCCTAGGAAAGGGAAACTGAAAATGTTGTTTGAAATAACAATTAGGAGGACTTAAACTACAAATTTCCCACAGACTTACAAGAAGTGCAAACAATAATCATAGTGAATCAAACCCTAAAATCATCCTTCTTTAGGTGCTGTGACATGCAGATAAATATATTCATAAGCTTAGTAAAAGAAACTTGAAAAAAAAAACCTGATTCACGTGCTAATGTCTACCAAATGTACCCATTGTGACACAAAAAAAGCAGATTAACTTTCATCAAAAGTGACACAGACAAGTTATTCTTGGATATCATTACTCCTGCTACATCCAACAATTAGTTCAGTGAATTTGGTTTACGAGTCACATAAAGTACATCTGCTGGCAACATGAGATTTACACCTGTGATGAATACCTCATGTTGTTAATTATAGAAAAAAAAAGGTCACAGTGTTCTTGTGATAAACTCTTGGTTACAGTATGAAAGGAACACATTATTCCCTACCTTCTCAGCATCTTGCTCAAAAAGACGGAGTTGAAAGCACTGGTCCAGCTTCAACTTGCGGACATGCCACATCTGATGCAAGTGTTGCCGGGTAGAATGCAGCTTGTCTAAAAGGCTGGTGATCTTTGGCACAAGACTTTGAAAATCTGCACTTCCAGGAATACAGTTCCTACCAGAAAAACCATCACTGCATCTTATGCATTGTAATAACCTCTGACCCTCACGATCCAGTTCTTCCACAGGAGCTTTAATCACTTTTTTCTTAAGCTGCGTGTGCTCATCAATCAGCCTTCTTGAGCCCTCAACATCAACTGGAAACTCTTTCCTAGCCAACATCTCCTGGAGATCCTCCAGTCTTGATAATAAATGGATGGCACTGTTGAAAAACTCTTCCAAGGAGACACGCAGCTCTATCCATTCATCATGGTTGTAATCCAAGGATCCTTCAAACTCATCTGTAAGTTGAGAAGGATCTACGAGTTTTGCCAGGCCTTCAACAGACACCATACTTGTCTAAGGAAGGGGAAAATGACAGTGTTTGTATCAGTGACTGTCCAACCAGAAATAACAGTGCAATCCATAAATAGCATGAAGGGATTATTTCCCTCATCAATACATAATTGAAGGTACATTGTAAAACATGCTGAGGATCATGTTTAATTTTTATGAACTACCTGGACTGAAAACTTTTCTATTAATGGCACTTATTTTTTATTTATTTATTAAAAGACATGGTATTTACTGGAATAATGTCTATCTTTTTCAGCCGGCGTGACTATCAAAAACATATAATGAGAATGCTTCTGCCACAGATTACTTTAAGCCAGTTGGACACTGCAGACTTCTTACTGCAGCTGTTGGATATCTGGACGTGACTGTTCACTGAACAGATATATGGCATTACAGGGATTCTGCTACTTGTGTTACACGCAGGCTACTCACTATACATCAGCAAAAGTTTTAGGCATATGAACTGAAGGAGGTATTGTGATCTGCCAAAACACAGAATGTGCTGGTTTTTTGTTCTAGATTATTCCAGTTGACTTTTGCTACAGGTAGATCTCTTTCATATCAGTAATTTCTAATGCAATTAAGACAAAATCAATGTAAGAGTAAAATGTCGTTGAAGTATTGACAATTAGAATTTATTCCTAATAGAAATACTGCTCATGAATCATACACAATCAATGAGAGATTCAGTAATCAATGATAGGGAAAAGCACTGGGTGCCTGGAAAGCAGATTATAGTTTAAGGACCCAACAATTTATGGCTCTTCCCATTTATTTCTGACTTTTTTTTTTTTCTGAAATATGAGCATAGGGTTTCATGTGTTACTAGAGATTTTCAGTGCTGTCATGTTAACACCCAAGTTGGCAGCCCTTAAAGTACCTTCATCAGGGACTGCACATCTATCCCCTAAAGATCAGGCTTCTGAAGAATGTCAGAGTTTGTGCTCTTCAGAAGTGCAGGCACCCAATAATCACAGCAATCTTGTAAAAGTAATCTACAAAGAAAAACACCTCAAGTCCTGTCCATTATCCTGAATTATGTCCAAACTAGCAGGCTGCCCACTAGTTTAAAGTTAATAACAGGCTTTTCTTCCAATTTGTATCTATTTAAAAATATCAGGCATTCTTCAATGTATTGAAATTGGGATTGAATAGAAGTTAGGCCCAGAAGAAAGATCATTGTAAAACTTTCTTGCGATGTTCCTTGCTTTGGGGAAGGACAGAGTGAAGAGCCAACAAAGAGTGGGAAGGTAAGTATGCAGCTCAAGAGGGATTTCAGATTTCTAAACCTCTTGACCTGGACACTGACCCCTTGAAGATAATTCAATTTAGAGTTTAACTGCCTGTCAAGAAAAGACTTCTCTTCATGGCTAACACCTGGGCATTCCCCCTGCAGTATGTCAAGCTAACGTAAGCACTGCTCTTATCATGAAAAGAGTTTGACATGATGATATAGCAGAAAGGCTTTTCATTTGATGACTTCTGCAGCTAATTTCTTTATTCAGATTTGTTTCTTTAAGGAGTTCTTGAAACTCTCATGAAAACAACCTTAGTTAGGCAGGTAGGTGGCAAGACAAAGTAACTCTCAGGGATCACCCATCTTTCTTTTAAAAATCACTTTAAAAAGCACTGCCCACTATTTAAACCCTTTTGGCAGGAGAAAGAAAATAATCTTGAAGGCACTTCTGAATTAATGCTAACTAAGCTACCTGGTTCATTCCTCAAAGTGACAGGAAGCTTTGGAGTTCACATACATCAACCAAACCTTTTTCTTTCTCTTTTCTTTGTGTGATGATCTGTGGGCCTGCTTCACTCTTGGACTGTGACACAGAACCATTCTGCCAGAGCCTCACAACAGAAAATCCAGATCATTTGCCTCCACTAAGGGTCATACACTGCCCTGGCACATGCATAATACTTCCATTAAGCTCAAACGCAGAAGCAAAGAAAAACAAAGGAAAGACTGAATGCAACACCACTGAAAATGAATACCACAAGAAAAGCCTCCCTAAAGTGAACTTTTTTTCTCTCAATCACAGGGCTTGGGAATACTTTTTTTACCTGAAGAAAATTTCTTATCACAGATAATGCTTTACCATATATCTCTGATATAGCTCTCACCTCAAAGATGAACTTGGAACTGCCAAAGTTGGTTTTCTGCTTCTGCCAGAAATTATCAGGTTTTATAATGAGGGCGACATGAATCTCGGCAGGAAAGGCTTCTTGAAGGGTCTTTAGGAGAGGTTTGATCAAATCCCATTTGGATCCCCGCATATCGATAATAACAGTGAATCCTCGTTTACAAACATCTTCGCTGTAGGAACAAAAGCATGTCAAGATAATTAATATTGTGGACAGTCACACTAATAGTTAACTTTTGTTGCTATTGTTCAGTGCTTCAGAGCAAAGCATGGAATGATATACTTCAAAATAAAAGGCAAAAGATAGTATTGCATAAAGGCTATATGAATCTTACCATAATCCAATTTACATTAAATTCAAGTGTATATATCACAGTTTAATCTCTAATTTCCCAAATATATGTAATTCAAATTTTCACTGAAAACATACATACTCTCACACAATCAAAACCAGAATCAAATATACGCATATAGAAGCTAGTTATGTGCACATACAATGAATTCTGCTTTCGACATACCGAATTCAATCCACAGCCAAAGTGAACAAGCACAGGGTCCTGTGCCTTAACATTGCTGGCTACTCGCCTGACAATCATTCCCTGAAAGGAAGGTCCTTGAGACACAGAATGTGCACTGTTAAAATGGGGGCCCTTCTCCCTCCTGATTGATCTTCCAAATGTTGCAGGATCTTTTTCAATTCTCAGTCATACTTTTCTGCCAGCCTGTGCTTGTCCCTTCTCAGAAGTTCAAGAGAGTTATCTGGCCTGGTCACTGGCTATGCATGGGGCCCAAAAGCACCAGAGCATTAGCTTGCAAACACATCTTCCCTTTTTCCTCAGGAGAAGAGAGGAGAAAGAATAACAGGACATGTTGATTCAAGTCAAATATGGGCAGCTTTCATCATAGCTTTTCCAGGGACATAGTATTGCTCCTCAGAAAAAAAGGAGTATGGCTCAAAAGTGGCATCTTCCATCTGCTGCATCCAACATTTGATGTGATTTGGGAAGTGTCTGTTCCTCTGACTCACCATGCATGTTGTTGAACTCTTGAGAGCTATGGTGTCTGCTGTGGATCTCAGGCACTTGCACAAAATGTGAGATTCCCCATCCCCAGTAATATTATTGGTACAGCAAATGAGTAAAATTCACTGGTGACGCACTGAAAATGCCAGAATGGTGTACCTGCTAATCTAATATACACTATATTTTTAAGGTGAAATGGAGGTCACAGCCTTCTCCACAGAAGGAGAAGCTGTTGGAAGAAAGGAAGTGTAGAAAGAAGAAAGGAAGATGAAAACAGAAAGAACAATTGAGAAAGAAGAGAAACATGGCAGAACATGAACGTATTTTATATAATGAACGCAACAGTGGTGTACACAACAAGAAATCCTCTTTAATACATTAATATAGCACACTTGACCTCTCTGCAAAATGTCAATCAACATAAATAGGATCAATATTGTAGACATAAAGGCATATGTAAGACAATTTAAAATAGCAAGTGTTGATATCACCGGAATGAATCTAAAATATGCTGAGGATGGATATTATTAATCACGGTTATAATGCAGAAATCATAAGACTGTGTTTAGCCTACACACAAATCCTCTCAGTGCACAAACACACAGGATGATTTTCACTAGACTCTACCTCTTTAAATCCTTAAAGCACTCTTTCTGCTAATAAGATCCAGCTCCTACATATCTCACTGAAAACAACTCTATAAAGCTTACAACTAGGTTTCTCGGCTGGAATAAGGAGAAGGCTGTCCTTCATAGGAGACACTCTGGATTAACATATGTAACTTAAAAATGAAAGTCCCTGGTGACCTGGCCAGTATCTAGAAAGGCTTGTGCACAGATGGACCACCCCATGGCAAAGGGGATCTTGCCATGTTAAGAGAGTTTGCTAACTTGAACAGTCTCAACAGTGTCAGGAAGGAGCAGTTAACGCCAACAAGCTTGGTCCTCTGCCTTAACATAATTGTCACATCCAGAGCACACTACATACAACAGTCAGTGTAAAGAAAAACGAAGGAGACCAGGCACTTCCAAACACTGTCAGGAATATAGATCTTTTTATTCTCCTTTTACCTACTGCTGAAAGGTCAGACATCTGATCCTTCCATAACTAATGCCAAAAAAGGCTGTAAAAGAAGCTTTGTTCACGGTGCTACTGCCTCTTGCCCTTTGGAATGAGAGCTGAGACAAAGAATTAAATCAGAAAGGGATGAATAGAAGGGGTTTTGTGTTTTGTTTTTTCTTCTTGCAAAGCTTTATGGGGTCTTCAGTAACTTCTGCCAAGTCACTGATCCCTGTTATACTGAAATGACTTTTCCAAGGATTGATTTTTCTTCAAACATTTGACAAAGAGATCCAGGAGTCATACAGGCACACAGAGCACCCTAACAGCAGACACAGCAACAGGTAAGTGCAATCTATCCTTTTTTATAGAAATAAATAAATAAAAAACCCCATACTGCAACCACAGCAAGGTATAACCAATATTAACTTCATTCCAGCTCCCTATGCTGCTGCCAACCTGACAATTTACCATTTCTGATCTAAAACAATTTAATACTTACTGACGTACAACAGAAAAACCTGTTTCAGTAAGCAGAACAAGAATGTCCGGAGGGACTGAAGTCTTCCATTTATGAGCCTGTCTTAGACCCAGACAGTCCCCAAATCACATCCTGCCCCCAGCTTGAGAGCATAAACAGTGTTATCATCTTGACACCCATGATTACATACCACCATGACTGGAAGCTCAGCCTGCAGGAACATAGATCCTAACTATGACAGAGATCTAACTATGGACTGGATCCCGTATTTGGCTACCGCCCCCCTGGACTCTGGAGGCGCAGAGAAACAGTGGAGGGAGCAGATGTCCCCCTGCTGTCCATTCCCATCAGCAAGCATGCGTGTGTGAAAAAATGCTCCACAACACCCATCCTAAATCCTACTTTCATGTTTTTGGAGACTTCACAGTATGTTTTCAGTGGAATAAAAAGGGTAATGATTCCCAGCTTTTTCTAGTGGACACAGGAGAACAGCCACTGACCCTGGCAGGGGTCAGGAAGCTTCCTGATTCTTATACTGCAAGAGGCAATAAGTAGTCATTTGCTGCCAGAACTATCTATGCTCCTTGTAACTAGACCAAATTTTCAACAAGCTTATTACATTTTCAAATATGAAAATGAGGAGATGCAGTAATGGAGGAGGAATGGATAGAGAAGATTCCTACATTTCTTAGGTTCAAACACATCAACAAGTAATAACTATTTCACTAATAATGCAAAACTTAGTACACTACTCTTAATTACAAAGAGGATTTCCCTACTTCATTGGTCACATAGGCATGTAAGTTTTTGTATGAAATAAGTGAAAAGATGAGTACCTCTTTTCAAGTATAGTGCAGATAATGTACGTATAGATGGTATTTCTCATTTTGAGCAAATCTAACTCTGTTTCAGGAACCTTACTCACAGTCTTGTTTGCAATTTTTTCTTTAATGAGATGAATGGTACTAACCTGTAACAGGACCTGTGGGTCTGTAGCCTTCTACAGAATTTGATCTCCCTGGCACAGTGATAATTCCACAAGCCCTTCTCTGACTCTTTGCACAAAATTAGCACCTGATTTCTAAACCTGCCTGTGAAAAACTATTATTTAACAGTGTCGCAATTGTATTATTTAACTGTTGCAAGCCAGAAAGCTGTCCACTCATTATTCCTACTTTCAGTTGCCAAGCATGCTGTGGAGAGGTGTGCCTTTGAGAGCACGTGCACTATACAAGTATATACCATATAAGTACAAGCCAGTTACTAAACAGATACTAATATCTCAGAGAAAAAAGAGGGAGACAAAATTATTTAGATGGTAAGCTCTTCAGGACAGGGACCATCTGCCATGCTGTGCTTGTCTAAGGAGCCTGCCTTGGTGGAGGGCTCCAGGTACCTATATGAGTCTTCAGCTGTCTAGAATGAATTCAAAAAAATTACTCTTCAGGAAACTATAGATGCAAATCCAAAGAATAATAACTGAGTAATGACTGTTTACAAAAACGCAGCTGAACATGTATGTCAAAGTACAAAAGGTTTACATAAATGTGGGGATACCTCACAGGAAATTTAGTTAAAAAAAATACTAAAAAAGGTCAAAATTTAAGTTGCAATACCCAAATATTTACAGCTATTGATACCACCCTAAAAAGTTGTCTTTGTTTAGACATAATGAAGCACCCACTAACTCTGGCAAGTCGGAGCAATCTGTGAAGATTTGTCATCTTTGACAGTCAGTCATTTTTCTTTGATTACCTCAATATGTATTGAGGAAATGACCCTATGTTCCTTTTGAATAGTCTAGTCATGCTTATTAAATTTATTGTTTAAAAGCAGCAACTCAAACCTTTCCCAGTCTAGCAATTGATCGGGAAAAGCATCAGTAGCAATCAAGCTTTCTCCACGCTGTCCAAGCAAGACATGCCTTATCCCTGGCTCCCAAGAGGTTACATCAATCCACACATCTATTATGCACAAGTAATCATTTTAGGATGGCAATTAATGTTGATTGTGGTGCTTAATTTTTTCCGGTATTGATATTTGACCAGAAACTGGAGAAAACACTCAGATCAAGGTATTTGGACAATCTGTCAGCCTTTTGGGCTGTGCTCATCTGGACTAGATTTGCAACGGTGAGCACAAAATATTTGATAGTTGATATGTCATTTCAGTTGCTACACTGCTTTTAAGCAAAGACAAAGACAAGCTTTAATAAAAATACCTTAAAATATTTGTGAAAAAAATACTTAAGATCTGGATTTAAAAAGAAGGCATAAAATTGAAACTCAGAAGCAGATGTGATAATTTTGTCAAAAAATGCCTCTATTTTGGTTTCTAGGGTACTTTCATAAGGTTATTTTCTCAAATTTCCTCTTTAATTCTGGCACATTCTAAATTGTATTTTCTTTGGCAAGAGCTGGCTTGCTGGGTACCAAATGAGTTTAAGGACTTCATGCTTTCTGATTAATCTTTCAAATACCTATCATTGATTATGTGTATTTTTCATCCTTATGGTTTGGCCAAAGCTTCTGGTATGTAGAAGCTTCAGCACTTGATTAGCTGAAATAACATAATATCTCCCTTCCCATTCTGCAGTCACGAGTTAAT